TATATAGTACAAGCTAAGCGATAATCTAAACTATAGAGGGAGGTCACTGAACTAGACCCGTTGGAGTGAAAACTGCACGAAAACAATTGTTCATGAGTTTAAAATAAAATAAACTTTTGTCGTTGTTTATGTGTTTTCTTGATGCTAATCTAAAAGCCCTAAGCCAAACTACACCCGCAACTTAATTAATTAACAGAAGAATTTGTTTGATTTTATTATCACCTCTTTTCTTGGCAATTTCAGAGAATCAATCCATGTGATAAGAAACCATTACTTTAACAGCAGCAAGGACCTGGCCATGGGCGAAGTCGCATAGTATATTTGTTTCACAAGAAAACGTTGATGAGAAAGGAACAACTCAAAAGATTCAGCATAGAAAATGCAGTAGTTTTCCATATCGATAAATAATATTTATGTGGCGTTGGCTTCCTTTTAATTTTATTGAATAAATTATTGTGTGATACGAGTTTTGGAAAAAAATGGGGGAGCGACTGGCAGAAAGCAGCAGCTGATGCACCAGGAAGCTTGGAATTTGTCGTGGTTGCCTAAATTCAATGAAAGGGAGCCGTGGTGAAATTCGCGTCACACTTTCTCCCTCTAATTGTCTGCTCCACAATTATTTTGATGCCCACTCATGTATGATGTATCCATCACCCACCTCCACGTGTCATTCATTTACCCAAGACTAACAATTGCTTTTGGTATTAGTTTAAAAAAAATTATGAATAACAATGAGAGAAAGATGCTTCGAACTCGAGACTTCCTTCAACGCTGAGAAGAAAAATATTTATAAATAAGAGCTAGTTAAATTTAAATTATTGATCCATCATATTTGTCAAAACGAGTTCGATTCTATGCGTATGACTAATGCCCATAGATTTATTATAGTATATAATAACATTTTCTGGGATTTGAAATATTATGATTTCATTCTAAATATATATATTTCACATAAAATTTGCATATTTTAAAAATCAATCAATCAATCTAGGTGTGAAACAAATAAATTATTATTAAATTCAAAAAGAACTCATGATAAATATGGATTAAGTCAGTTAGTCAAGAACTCAAGATAATGTGTTTGCTTTCTTATATTCGAGTTCAAACTTCCTCCATATACATTAGAGCAGTTTAGTACATCGCTCTTGTAAGTAGGGGATTGTTCACCCATCTAGAAAGATAGGCACACATATTGGTTGGTGTCAATCGCCCCGAGTGAGTACCACAATCGCTCATGAGAAACTCCAAAAGGTCTTCAATTGACTTGAAGCAAATAGGTCAAGTTGGCTACATGTAGCCATCCAAGATCTCCACGAAAGATATACCAATTAGCAATTGGATTTCATTCTCTGTTCTTTTGTTTTCGTGTCTTGGTTTACATGTTGTCTTCATTTTATGCTGTAAGCTCTCTATAAAAAAACCAAAGATGCAGAAAACCAACAATCAACAGCTCTAGATAAAATCGAAAATGGATATATAATTGGATACGAACGAAGAGAGCCAAATACTAGAGACATGTCTCTTATTTGTAACTAAAACCAATGCTCATATCTCAAGTCCCATTTCAATACCAAATACTTCCTCTATACAAATTCCATCCCAATGCAAATAATTATAAAAACAAAATGGAAATAAAAATGACAAGTTTATAATAAAACTCATTTCTTGCATTGATTTTATATATAAACCTTATAAATTGAAGAACAAAACTTAAAAAAGGGCCGGCTGTAATATTTTTAGAATTTGAATGATGGATAAAATACCATTTTTATTCTTACTTATGATTGTTAGAAATATATATATATATATGACTTACATGTGAAAAGCCCAATAGAAATCTATAGTCAACAAAGATTATCTATAGATAAATATAAAATAAAATAAATAAATGATTTTTAGGTCTAATGGTCCATTAACTTTGACCATGTTCTCATTTTGGTCCCTCAATTTTGAAAATCGTTCTCATAGTCCTTCAACTTCACTTTCATTAGGACAAATGGTCATGCTGTTAATTTTGTTATCTTTTCTATTAAATGTATGGGCAAAATGGTATTTTTGTTTTATTTTTAATTTCCACCATATGAATATTCCTTTCCACAACCACCACCAAGTCTTCCTCACCCTCACCATCTCACCGAGTCCCAACCCCTCTTACCCTACGATGAAATATTCAATTTTATTTTCATCAACAATATGAAATAGAGTGAGGGATAGAAGCCATTGCAGGGAGGGTGTGTATGCTTTGGGTGGGGTTGTGGCTTGTGGGAGTGCCATCAATTGTTGTTGGGGTGGTGTCGAGTGGAGGTTGTCCATGGCTTTGTTGGATTGGAGAAAAGGAGATATATCATTCCTCGATTGGTGGTGAGTTTTAATGAGCTTGGCTTGGGGAGAAGGGAGATATACGGATGAGGAGAGTTAAGTGCAGCAATGGGGGAGTGGGTGTGGGGTTTGGGTGCTCCAGGAATTGCCCATGTACCCCAGGAGTGAAGCAATTTTCAATTTTGACCCCCAAATTTTATAGAAAACGTTAACAAAACTAATGGCATGACCATGTTCTAACAAAACTAAAGTTAAAGGATCACGAAAACGATTTTGAAAGTTGAGGAATCAAAATACGAATCAGGTCAAAATTTAGAGATCATTAAACCCAAAAACCCACAAATAAGCCATATTAACATGCATGTGAGACAAATTGAGAAACTAGTTTCTATTTACCGTTTTAATCGTTTTGATACCGTATTTTCAAACATTAATATTTTTTGTTTGGGTCAAGCACATCGTAACCAATCATGTCATTGTAAAACTGTTCCCTATGGGTTGGTGGTAGGGGCACGGAATGGAACTACTCTCTTCAAGTCACACTCAGTTGATGAATAATGTAAGGAAGTGGCACAGACAATGTGTGCTTCATCGGGTGAGATCATCAAAGACCAGTACTAACAACACAACACACCACCAAGTGGGGAGGAGCCTTGGGAGACTGAGGCACTAGGGGAACCCATATTGTTGGGGATGAGAGAAGGTTCCGTGGGGCCCACGCCAAATGCGGCGAGACGCAGCTCTGCAGCACCGCGGGATGCAAAATCCCCATTTCACCCATCCCTAGCTCCGCGCTTCTTTTGCTATCAATATATTATTGTTTTTATTTTACTTTGTTTTTTTAAAAGGTGAAATGTATGCTGATGTCAGATATTCCTTCTCAATAAAATAAAAATATTTTAATATTTTAATAAAATAAAATAAAAAAATGGTGGTGGATGGTGATGAAGAATGGACCCCACGCACTCCCAAGATAGGAGGAGGAGGAGGAAATGCTGATTAATGTTCAAGTGGAGAGAAACGCTAAAGAAAGGAAGAAAATATAAATAAAATATATAAATAAGGCATTTTTTAAAATTATTATTATTATTATTATGAAATAATTAAATTATAGATAGGACAGCCAAAATCGACGCTGACAATGATCCGTACTGTTTTGGCTTGCCATTGGCTCAGAGAGACGCACAAAACTACAAGCCTCGTAAGCAGTGGGCCCCTACCCAACTCAAAACCCAACCCGTTTTGATTCCTTCCGCTGCCTCTATCCGTTCTCCAAAAGCCGCCTCTACCGAAAGCTCACCCACAAGCTGCTACAATTTTTTGCTTCTTCATCATTGCTTTTCCGTAAATGTGATTTTTACCCTCTCCACTACGCAGTTTTTACTGCGGTAAGTTCACTCTTGTCATGACTCATATCTCATCTTTAAAATAAAATAATAACAATGTTAATCATCAATGGTAATGGTCCATGAAATTGTACCTTTGTTTCTTTTTGCATTATTCAATTCAGTTTTTTATTTATCACTTCCTCTAATAGTATCACTCGTAGTAATCTGGTAATTTTATAATAGAAGTACAACATATCGACACAATGATACATTGTCACATGCCATTACGACAAAACGAGCTATCCAATTTGATAGCCATATTGACATAAGTTAACTCTATACAGTTAGAGGATGGCAGAAATTAAAAGCGGAATTGGGTGACTAAAATGAAGCTCGAGTACAAATTCATGTACCATTTGTAATTAAAAACTCTAATAATCTATTTTCTAGTTTGTTAGATTGTTAACGATAATCTGACGTGTGGAATCACAGACAACATTAAAATTTGTTGAAATACTTGAGGATGCGAAGATGCGAGTGGACCATTTGTCTAGTGATTTTGGATTATTAGGAGATTTTGTTGTTCCAAGATCTAAAGGATAATGAATCAACTGGATTGATCATGAATTAGAGCTTTGTGATTACCAATTAGGGCTTCTGCAGGTTTGAAACGAAACCCACTGAAATTATAATCTGGATTTGACTAAGAGGAGGACAATGATCCAACTAATTAATGAATCCAAAAACGTCAATGATCTAGAAACCAGCTCACTAGAATTCTTGACCAAATCCAAAATGCAGTAATAATAATTAAAGGGGTAATTGGGTTTGGTGTGACTCAGCACCAACACGTATTATGCAAGTTGACGAGTCAATAAAGATGAAGCTGGACCAACCAGAAAATTCTCCGCATTCATCTGAGAAGTCTGAAACCAGAAATGAAAAGGAAGAAGAGGAAGGAAGATATATAATTATAATTGATGGAGATTATTCTTATAGCTTATACTTATAGGTAGGCGGATAGTACTCATGGCTAGCTACTAGCTAGCTAGCAGCTCAAAAAGACTAAAAAACGACTACAATCGAGAAGCAAAGGAAGGACCACCGACAAACTCTCATCTTTCTCTCATCTTTTTCCATCTCTAATAAACAGTAGGAAAAAGAAAAGAGAGAAATCCTGTGCCGCCGGAGATCAACAAAAACTCGCCGGACATGGATTCCGGGGAAAACCCATAAACAAAACAAAAAAAACTAAGAATTTTACAGCAGAGACAGATGACTCGCGTGAGTATATGGCCGCAAGTGTGAACGTCACATTCACAAAAAACAAAAAACAGAGAAAATGGAGAAGACTCAAGGGAATAAGTTGAGTAGCTTTCTCTCTGCTCCGACTCCATAAGAGTGCCGGTTATACTGATGATGATTATCTGGCAAGCCGCTCTCGAAGCACGTGGTGACCACCGACTCCTCGGAGTTCATAGACGGCGTTCCGGCTCGTCGGGTCTCGGGTTTGGGCTTCGGTTTGAAAGTAAGGCTCGGAGTCAACCGCAGATCCAGATCCGCATGGTGCTGGAGCTGAAGCACCTTTGTGGACGACTCGTCGTCGGCGGATCGCTTGCGTTTCGGAGAGGAAGCCCTGGCGGACCGGGAGCTGGTGAACCGGGAAGAAGAACCGGAGTTGTGGCTCGGATCTCGGAGCCTCCACATGTCCGTACAGTTGTTGACGCCGCCGCCGCCGTCGCCGTCGGAGGCTTCGTCGGAACTCGAGCCGCCGCCGAGGAGCTCTGGTATCGGCCGCAGCGTGCCGCCGCGGAGCACGGTCTCGACCGCGGCCTGGCACACGTGCCAGTTGCCGGTCCAGAGCAGCCCCACGGCGCCGTTGACCGGGTTGACCGTACGGCCGCAGGCTTCAAACAACAGAGACTGGAACAAAACTGAAAGAAAACAGAAAATCAGAAATGAAAATCGAAAAGAGAGATGTGGAGATGGAAAATACGAGATTTTGGTGGGTGAAGATAAAGTACCGGGACGCTGAGAATCGGGGACGGCGGAGATGAAGGACATGAGGCCGGCGCGGCCGAAGAACTTGGCGACGAAGACGGTGGCGTGGCCTTGGGCTTCGGGGGTTTCGATCCACTGGAGGCAAGGGCGGAGCATGCAGGATTCGCTGCAGCCCTTTCGGAGAACTCGGCATCCGTTGCAGCTCATGGTTTTATGAAGAGGGTTTGGTTTGTGAAATATCAGTCAGTGAGAAGTGGGAGATTGAATTACATGAATGAGAGCAGGTTGAGGTTGAAGGAGGACTGGGATTTCTTTGCGCCCAAGAAAAGTAGAGAGACAGACAGAGAGAGAGAGAAGGAAATTAAGCTAAGCTGGCCAAAGAGAGCTCAGGAGGGTGTTATATAAATTGAAAACTAAGACTTGAAGAGAGAGAGAGCAGAGTGCGTGGGTTGAGAGTTTTAACTAGGGAATTGGGTGTGGTGAGAGAGAGAGAGAGATTCCAAGGAGTTGGGCGAGAGCGGCTCCGTGTTTCCGCGCAGGATGTTCTCCACCGTTGGATTCGTTGCTTTTGATTGTGGAAACAACACTAGACTAGAGATGGAGAGAGGGAGTGGAATGTGGATTTATATTGATGGGGGAGGCTTTGGCTTAGCTGCTTTCCTTTTCATCTTATTTTTTGCCCCTTGCCCCTTTGCCCCTCCTTTGGCCCCTTTGCTTTGCTTTTTTCTATCTTCAACTTGCCAAGGTGGTTGCGTCACACACTAATTAAATCAAACCAAAATAATAATAAAATGTATGGTAGATTGGATTAGATGCTTCTTGCATTGGATTAAACAAATGACCTCCCTTCTTAATACGAGTCGTTCATTTTGAGAGACAAATCACATCTCGACATGATTTATAAACTTTTTTTTATATGTCGGTTAGGATTTACAAGCAAGTAAATCGACTTCTTTCTTATATAAGGAAGCATATAATGTTGTTTTAACATAAGGGGTCTTCTTCATTCTTCATTATTCATATACAAAATAACAACAACAATAATAAATATATATATGTTGGTGTTAGTAACTTAGTATTATAATTACCATGGAAAATTGGAAATGAATTGGTCCATGACTCTACTGTATTTGTATGGTATGGCGTGCACATGTAGGGCATTAATAGTTAATTAGGGGGTAATAGATGGTATTTGGTAGTGGGAAAGGGTCCAAAGGATATGGTATTTAAAAGGGGATTAATCATTGAGGAGGGAGCTTTGCTTGGTGCAAGATCAGGAAACACACACACACACAACACACACGCAAAAGCACAAAGCATTGGCATTGCAAGCGGTGCAGAGTAAGTTTTAGGACTTTGAGGAGGAAGTTTTTAAAATCAAAAGTGGTAGGAATAATATGAGGTGCAATCAAATGGAAGCATGTAAGTGATTGCCTGGGTGGGGGTGGTATGGGGGCAGTCACCAATTAGGGTTCATCTTTATTCTTTTTGTTTTTTTTAATTAATTTATTTATTAATGAAGGGAAAAATAAAATAAAAAATATTTATATATTTTGTTTGTATTTTGTGATGCTACCAAACGTGGAGTAACATGTTGAGATTCTTTAAAGATTTTGAAAGCTTTCTTTCCCCCACAATTTTAAAAATCACGTTATTCTTTTTGAGGTTTCAAGTAATAGCAAGCATTTGAATAAACGCTTAAAAAAGTAGTGGTTCACAATTATGCACCACAAAACATTACCAAATTACCTTTTTTATATTAAGTGTGGACTAAATTTCCACCAAGGTTCTTTATGATAGTTTTAGAGGACACTGATATTTATTTTATTATATTGAAGCACATGAGTCTTGACTCAAATGGTATTTGGTGGGATGGGTTAAAGGTTAAATTCTAGATTCAAATCTTGATGTAAGCCAAATTAACATAATGAAGTACCAATCAATTAAAGAATCATCCGACACTTTCAACATGCTTTGAATTATCATAACTGACATAAGAGTACGTGTGGCTGTTAAGTTAAAACGTGAATCGTCTGTTGTAATATTATGAAAGAATTTGACCATCCAAAGGAACAGCAATTAATCTATGGGCTGATTTTCTCACACATTCAACATGAGGGTTTCCATATTGTAACCAATAACTCATGCTAATGCTTCTTGTGTTCAAAAGTATAGTGGGATTGAAATCAAGCTTATAGCAGCCTATAATAATAAGCAAGAAAACAAAGAGCATATGAACTTGTAAAACTTTGGTTTATGTTGATAATGATTAGATTATATATATGAGGAATGATGAGGGATGGAGTGTGTGAAGACGCAATCATAGATGTACATGTAGGAAAAGACACAATAAGGGATTTACATGTTGGGGTCCGCGTGATTAGATTGGGTGTCCCACATTGTATATAGTTATCAATCTCCACCTTTGGATCAAATACTATCTGGCAATGATCTTCAAACACAATCATCATCAAATTGTGGAAAGATCTCAAGAGATCTCATTTTGGAGCATCTCCCGCAATTTGCATTGATAAACCGTATTGTAGAATTCATGTGTGAAGTTCAAGTAATTTTTTGAAACATCGTGTTTATTAATTTTGTTGGTTTCCATTAGATGCGTTAATGATTTTCAATTTTCATGATTTTTTGCAAATATGATCTATGAATGAAGATGTGAAAAATATAGGATTTGGGCAGTTGAAATTTTTTCCGTAGAGGACCTTAAATGGTGTCCCTCAAATAAAATTATTTTGAAAAATCGTTGAATAGAAGTATATACGTGTAAGGTTTTATTAAAGTGGAGAAGCATAACATAATCCCAGGGCTTGTCATGTAATTTACTTTGGTCTATTTTACTATTGTGGAACCTTATCATCATCGCCGCATATAAGTTCTTGTCGCCTCTGAAAAGGCATCAAAACTATAATATATATATATATATATAGACACACAATAATTCCACTGTTAAAATATTGATAAGAAAGAAAGGGTTCATTTCACTTGGGAGAAGAAAGCATCTGACTGAAAAAAATTATTACAAAAAAAAAAGGAAAACTAATATTGTTTTTCTTTTCTCTCTTTCTTTTAGGGTTATACATAGCATCTCATTGACTTGTGAACAATTGAAGCTTTAGTCCTTCACGGTTTGTACTAAGGATCCTTGGGGATTATAACAAAAGTGCTTTTGAGTGGAAAATTATCCTATAGTTGGTCATATTCAGCTAAAAATAAGCCAAATAACAAATATTTGGAACACATAACTGAACTCGTATATTAAAAAAGTGCAAGAATGACATCACATCAACACAAAAGCACAATTTCTTCATTTTACGGACGAGATTCTTGAATTTATGGAATCATGTAGGATCTTTATACAATTTCTATGCGAGATACTTCATGTAAGAGGTTTGAGATCGAACTAATTTGTATAGCATTGCTCATTACACAAATTGAAAAGTAACTAATGCATCTATTAACTGAACAATTTTGAGCCATTCTTTCTTACCTACATACCAATCTCTTACGTAACAAATATTAGAAACTCATTGAGAAATAAAAAAATAAAAAAAATTAAAATTTATACAGGCTATCAAATTGGAATGTGCCCCATTATTGATTCACATCACAAGGAGTGAAGTAATTTTAAAATAAAATGGGGGGGGGGGGGGGGGGGGGGGGGGGGGGGGTGGGGAAAGTGTGAGGCAAATTGGAGTGTCGCTTAGTCTGACTGACTGACGTGGCGTTCTTATCCCTAGCGTGAGGCATGTCACCCCCCCCATCAACTTGCAGGTGCCGACAATTACCGAGCAAAACAAAACTTCTCAGAAAATAAACCAGATTTGCCTCTGCTCTCTCTGCACCTCTATGTCTATGCTTAATAATTAATGCCTGCCCTAATATATATATATATATATATATGAAGTTTCAGTCGAAGAATTTTTCAAATATACTTATTTGATAGATATTTTTGTAGAGCTCACTTTGTATTGTATTTTATTAATCTAAATTGTCTATTTTATATATACTCATTCAAATATCATATTTACAAAAAATACTTGAATCCGATATCATTTGACCACTCAATTGAATTAGTGAAATTTTAGTACTTTCTTGAAGTATCGTGTTCATTGATTTTGTATGACATAATTGGATATTGAAACGGTTTCTGATTTGTTTAATTTTTTGCAAGGAGATCTATGAATGTAAACTTAAAAAATAGATGGTTTGGATCGTTAAAAAAATCTAAAGGGTGTCTCCCAAATAAAATTATTTGAGGGATCCTTCAATAGAAGGGGACTGTATATATATATTTATTCTCTTATCTGAATGTCCACACATTATTATCATGCTGATGTCATTGTAAATTGACAAGAAAACAGGGAGGGGTAGTAAAAAATATATAGAATTTGCACAATAATAACGTCCGAATGTCCACATAGGAGAATATATATATATATATAAATAGATATAAATGTTTATAATATGGTTATTTATCCCTGAACGTTGACCCAATTTGCATTTAAGTCTCTCAATTTTTAAAATTGTTCATGTGGTCCTTCAACTTTATTTTCGTTATGACAAATGGTTCTACCATCAATTTTGTTGACTTTTTCTGTTCAATGCATGGGTGAAATGGTATTTTTGTTTTATTTTTAAATTCCAATATTTGAATATTCCTTTCATCCCAAAAAAAAAAAAAAAAAAAAAAAAAAAAAAAAAAATAAAAATAAAAAAAAAATTTAATTTATTCTCAATCAAACTAAAAATTAAAAAGTAGATTATTATTTTTTGCTTTTGAATATTTTATTCATATTTTAATTAATTTAAAATTAAAAAAATATGTGGTGTTTGGGGACTTGATTGACTTATTTATCCCTTCCTCAGCACTGGCACGGGATCTGGGGGTCGTTTTCAGCCTGACTTATGAAACAGCTAGCAGCCCTGCAACGTTGCAAAAACAACACGTAAGTTGAGGAGGGTAAAGGGGAAGCTGCTTTTAACAGAGTCTTCCAATCAGACGTGACCCATGAGCGGGGAAGATGAATTTCAACCTTGGGTAATATAAACAAGAAAACTACTAACCATCCGTTGTCTTCACGCACGTGAGAGATTATAAGCCGTTAGTGTACGAATTGATAAGAGTGTTTGTGAGTCGCTGTATTGTGCGACCCACCCACGTGCTTCAACGATTCACAATAACTAACTCATGCTGTCATAATTCAGATATAAATATATATATATATATATCGAAATAATCCATTCCAGCTAATCTTAGATAAGAGTTTAATTACTATCAAGATGTTCTCGTACGAGAGCATTTTGAACCGCCAATTTAAAGTTTCAGAATCTAGACTGACAATGGCCTCATTTTAAATGCATTGCTTGCAATATGTATGGTAATGATTGCAGCAGCAAGCAAGCAAATGCATAATATAAATTTGAAATAGAAAATTAAGACACGAAGTTTTGCATCAATATTATTTCAGAAATACTTGATGTAGAAATTAAAGCATTGGGTTCTTCTCTCCATCCATGATCCATCCATCAATGGGGATTAGCTTATTCAAAGCTGATTTGGAAGAACAAATTACACGCCTCTTTGTTGTTAATAATTGTGATCTAATCTTGCATTTATGTTTATCAACGACTTACAATCAACCATGAACAACGGTGTAGCTTTGCTCCAAAACAAATAATCAACAATCAGTGGCTTTGTAGGTGGGGACACAGTTAGAGACTCTAGTCCTACTCGTCAGTCACAACATAACAAATGGAGCTTTTGTTTTTGGTGAATTAATGACCTCATTTACAGTACATAGATAAGGTCATTTGACAAAAAGTCCAATTCCGTACACATACCTAACTTAATTGTTATTTCTTATGGGGATAATGTTAGTATTATGATCAAGAATTCATCCAGATGCTACACCAGCTCAATTTGTTATTAGTTCCTAATATTTCACATATTATGATATAATTGACACCATAAAAATACACTTATCACTTATTGGGATATGAGGCATTGCACCATTTTATAAAATAAAAAAAAAGGACATTGTTGACAGTCATGAAAATGACGACAATGGTCCTAAACTTGAAGTAACATGTTCATTGAGATAGGATTCCCTTAGTCTAATGCCATTAATACCATGGCAGCAGTTTGTACACCATAATCCTAGGCCAAGTTTCCAATTGGCTTGAATAACTCACTAAATTTAAAGGCATATTAAAGGAAGAAATGAATCCCGACACTCAAAATTTGTCCATTTCAGTTTCCCAAAAATAGTAGGATATCAACATTTGCTAATGCATTCTGATCCCTTTTATTCCCCAAAATAAAAAAATCTTTAACTCTACCTTCATTTCTTACTTCAACATGCCTGAAATTTTGTGAATTATTTAATAAAATCGAATCCTAAGTACTAATGTGACCCTAATGAAATCATTACAAAGCCCTACAAACAGCTGTTGGGACCAGCAATCAAGTAAAGGAGAGCAACAATTTTCTTCTATAAGAACAAACAAAAGCTCAAGTAATCATAAATAAAAGGAAAAATGCGGCAAAATCCTGAAGATTCCAATTTGTGGGGTCCTCTAAGAAGGCAACTTGGGTTAGCTTAAAGCCAATTTCCCATCTCAGAACTATGATGATGGATAAGTAGCACCTTAATCGAGAAATGTTTCCCCCTTCAAGCCAATTTGTGATAGTCAATTGGCCCATAAACCAATCGGATTGGCATCTGCTGCAGTAGAGTTTCAAACTTTTAGGTGTTATATCAAGGTGTACGATGTTGGAATGAAATCAAAGACCACTAAAAATTAACCACATAGATCAAGATAAAAGTTTCCCAGTACAGGGATTATTCTTTAATCAGTGGCTAAAACTTTTGACAGTGCACCAGAGCAGAAAGTTCTTATTCTCAGGCAATGGCAGCAGTTAGAACTCTGGTCTGGTGTTACATCTCTCATGGCTATTCATATAACATGAGCACAAAAGAAACTTGACAAAATTTCAACCAGCTCAATGTGGTCCACCCACTTGAATGAAAAGAAAAGTATGATTAAGTGGTGTACCTATCAGGGCTGTCAAACTCCATCTCAAGATGAAAGCTGCATTTGATGACTTCAGCCACAACAAGGAATCTTTTCATCTTTTTATCTTACCTTTCCCAATTGCCTTCATCAAAATCAAAACAGCAAAACTTGGACATAGTTATGGCATCTTATGGACCAAGATTGGTTGTGCCTATAGATGTGAAGAAGAAACCATGGGAACAGAAGCTTCCACTTCACAACCGATGGCACCCGGACATACCACCGGTGGCAGAAGTTACAGTTGGAGATGTTTTTCGGGTCGAAATGGTGGATTTTAGTGGAGGTGGTATTACCAAAGAATACACAGCAGAGGACATCAAACATGCCAATCCCTCCATTGTAAGTTCCCCTTTCGTGTGTTTTGCATCTTTTCCACTTCTGTTGCATAAAGTTTGGAAGAGCATAGAAGAAATGATATCAATGGTGTGAGCAGAGTATCATGCAGCTCTAATTTTGACCAAACATAATCAATTATTTGAAGTCCAACACAATCAGTTTTTCCATGACAGATTCTATAGGAGTTACGAATCATTTCTTCATTGTTCAAGACTTAAGATTTTCTTTCATTGAGGGACACACTTAAGTAGCTACTATACATGTTTCCAGGTAATATCTATGAGAACAGGAAAATGAACAAGGCAAAAGGATTTTATTCTGCATATACACATCCAAACAACTCTGATTTCCTATTGCCACGTCTACAAACTTGTAAGGCTTTTTAGGTCCAATGGTCCCTCAACTTACACTTGAGTTGCATTTTCATCCCTCAATTCGCAAAATGGTTGTGGTGGTCCCTCAACTCCACTTCCGTTAGCAACATTAGTCCTACGTTAGATTTTCTGTTAAATTTGAGTCCAAATGGTCATTTCAAGTCCAACACCATCACTCTCACCAGCTCCACCACCCACACCACCATTTTGTACCTGAACAAGTCCACAACAATCACAACCCGCACGACCTCCTTCATTCTTCCTTCCCTTACCTCACTCAGCCTCAACTCCACCACCAACCACCCCCCTAAAACGACCTCCCGCAGCAGCCCCAATCCTTCAAATTCCCACACAACCCCACTCCCTTAAGACCATTCAATTCCTCCACTTCTCACCCATATACCTATTTGTACAAATCCAATACAAGGGGAGGTTGGAGAGAGACGGAGGAGGTGGTAGGAGGGTTGGGTGTGTGGAGGATTTTGGTGGCTGCTATTCTTCCATGTGTATCTTAGAGATGAAATACAGTTTTGTCCATGAGAAAGAACATGAAAAATACTATTTTGGCCTCAAATTTGACAGAAACTCTAACGTAGGACTAATGGTGTGCTGAGCATCTCCAGGAGAGTCTCCAAATTTTAGCAAAATTCTAGCTAAAATAGCTAGAAAGCTATTATGGCAAACCACTTAAAAGGTGTTTCCTCCCGCAATGTTCTCTATTTTGGCTAGTTTGAAATATTTTATTATTATTTTCTCTCTCTCTCCTCCTTGCTAGATGTAGAGAGTCTGTTGGAGGAGGATTTTCCTTTTTTTTAGCCAAAGTAGCTAGAGATGAGAGGATAGAGAGTCTGTTGAAGATGCTCTCGAAAGTGGAGTTATGGGACCACCACAACCATTTTGCGAATTGAGGGGCGAAAATGGAACTGTAAGTTGAGGGAGCAATGGACCTAAAAAGCCAACTTGTAATGCTTTGATTTGTCAGCCAAATTAAAATAAGAAAAAATGTTGTGTTGTATTGTATTTGTCCTATATTAGAAAAAGCTAGATGGGGGACCCTTGGAAAAACATGTCAGTCCCATTTGTCATCCAAGAATTGTATTGACGTCAACGTCCTTCCTCTTCCTCTTCCTCTTCCTCTTCCTCCAATGGATGCTGTTGTTTTGGCCTAACAAGTATACAAAACATACATCCTTACGCTCCCTGTTTTTCCACTATTTCATCTATGGCTCCTACGACTCCAAGACTAGTTGTGCCAATAAACTTGAACAACAAACCATGGCAGCAAAAACTACCTCTTCACAACCGTTGGCACCCTCACATACCCCCAGTGGCTGAGGTTAAAACTGGTGAGGTCTTTAGAGTAGAGATGGTTGACTGGACTGGAGGTTCTATTAAAGATGATGACTCTGCACTAGATATAAAATCTATAGACCTCTCAACTGTAAGTATGATTTTTTCTTATTTAACAAAAACTAAAACACTTTTAGTTCAAGTTTATGAATATACAAACAACACTAAAGTAAGTTTTTAAACCAATAGAAACTCCTATAACAGGTCAAACATGTTATATACTAAACCCTACTATCCTGATCTGAAGACACTACCAATATAATGCATCAGTAGTATGAACAACTAGAACATCTGGAATGGTGATTTAATGTTAAAGATAATAAGTTTTAAACTGCTCCAGGTTCATTATCTTAGTGGGCCAATTAGAGTTTTGGACAAGGATGGCACTCCAGCAAAGCCAGGTGATCTTCTGGCAGTTGAGATATGCAACCTGGGTCCTCTCCCAGGAGATGAATGGGGTTTCACAGCAACATTTGACAGAGAAAATGGAGGGGGTTTTCTCACTGACCATTTTCCTTGTGCAACCAAAGCTATTTGGTACTTTGAAGGGATATATGCGTACTCACCTCAAATACCAGGTGAATTATCAACCATTTCCTTTTCTTGTGCCAGTAATGTTATGAAAAGATTCATAAAGGTCCTCCTCCAAGCTTTTAACTAAGCCTATAAAATAAGCACAAAGTGGGGCTATAATTTTTGCTACTGACATAATTTTATATGCATGGCAGGAGTGAGATTCCCAGGTTTAACCCACCCCGGAATAGTTGGAACAGCACCATCAATGGAACTCCTGAATATATGGAATGAAAGGGAGAGAGAACTTGAAGAAAATGGACTCAACTCTATGAAACTATGTGAGGTTTTGCATCAACGACCATTGGCTAACCTACCATCAACAAAAGGTTGCGTCCTCGGAGGGGTATGCTAAATTGAAAACTTGTTAGGGAAACCAAATAATGATGAAAAACCTTGCAACAGGACTAAATTTCCATAATAGTTTTGCTGCATACTAAAAGTAAAATTCTGCAGCCTACTGCACGGAGATACAATAGTCATGATGTTCAACTTCTATCCCAAAAATCTAATTATACTAACATGTCGTGTTCATACATAGATCAAGGAGGGCACTCCTGAATGGGAAAAGATAGCCTTGGAGGCTGCAAGAACAATTCCAGGAAGAGAAAATGGTGGCAATTGTGACATTAAAAATCTTAGTAGTGGTTCAAAGATATACCTTCCAGTATTCATTGAAGGAGCAAATCTTAGCACTGGTGACATGCACTTTTCCCAGGGCGATGGTGAAATTTCATTCTGTGGAGCAATTGAGATGAGTGGTTTCCTGGAGCTCAAGTAAAAATTTCACACCTCATCTCTTAACATTTCTGTAGCCAAACTTGAGGCTTTGTTGAGCAAAAGACTGGAGCTGGTTAAAACTAAACTTTCTACTTTCACAATAGAATGCGGCATAACATGCCACGCCTGTGTACGCACGCGCACACACAGACACACAGACACACACACAACATACAGATATATATATAATATAATTAACAGTTTATCCTATATAATCCTGTTATTAGGTGTGAAATTATAAGGGATGGAATGAAAGAATACCTTACACCAATGGGGCCCACTCCTCTTCATGTGAACCCAATCTTTGAGATAGGCCCTGTTGAGCCAAGATTTTCAGAATGGTTGGTGTTTGAGGGCATCAGTGTTGATGAGAGTGGGAAGCAGCATTACCTAGATGCAACTGTTGCATATAAGCGTGCAGTACTGAATGCTATTGACTACCTCTCTAAATTTGGATACTCCAAAGAGCAGGTTTTTGATCTCTCTCTATACCACATACAATAACATGCCATGCATGCTATTATAGACTTCATTACTGATCTAGGACCTGTCATGCATCAGAGCTACCTTCTGTTGTCATGCTGCCCATGTGAGGGAAGAATTTCTGGAATAGTGGACTCTCCCAATGCCATGGCAACCTTAGCAATCCCAACAGCTATCTTTGACCAGGTATCTATTTCTGGCCAACCTTTACAGTACTTTACCATCTACAAATGATTCAAGTTATACTAGGTTGCTTTTTAAACTGCCTAGTCAGATTACTGAAATTTGAATAGCTACGTATCTATATGCTTAATGCCATAGATTGCATTCTATTCATAGATACAAATGTAAATAAGAGTCTTCTCTCCTAATTTGTTTCACAATAATTACATGATTCAAGAAAAAGAAATGAGCTCTTACAGGCAAAACAAAAGTATCACAATTCACAACATATAAGAACTCAAATACACAATAAACTTCCATTTTACTTGTAACTTAGATGATCCCTCAAGGTATAAGCTATTGATAGACCTTTGAAATTGATCAAAAACTTTTTCATGCATAAGGAGAGTCAATATTCTTTCTTGTTACAAAACTCACAAGAAATCACTCTAGTGAACAGTAATGATTGTCATAAAGCCTGCTGATATGTTCAAATCATTTTCTCTACAAATGACAAACGTACATATGCACAGGATATACGTCCAAGAGCAAACAAGGTGCCAGTTGGGCCTCGGATAGTGAGGAAACCAGATGTCCTGAAATGTACTTATGATGGAAATTTGGCAACTACAAGGAACCTTAGCTCAGCAACATAACTATTGTCAAGAGTGCTCAGTAAATAAAAGCAGACACTTTGCCTGTATCTTCCATGCCTACCAAGTCATGCATGTACTGGGATATACAGAAAGTAGAACTGAATTGTCAAAGTAAACCATCCAAATTCTATATAAGCAACACAAACACATTGCACACAGGGGAAAAGATCATGAATATATCGTGCAGAAAAATTCAACACTATTTAGCCTATCACTTCATGACTAAACCATGCTCTTAGCCATTTTGTCATCACTCCGATGTCAACCAAGCTGCTAATTCTAAGTTCTAATCAGCTGAGTCCACTTACACATTGACTTATATTGGCAATAATTTTTGCAAGCCTGCATCTTATGGTTGATTTTCACTATTCATCTTCTAAAGAGCCTATATATAACAAGTTTATGAATGCTTGTGTGTATTGAAACCTTATTGCATTTCATATATATTGCATCTCATATCTAAAATTGACTAACTTAACAAACACGCAGGTTGTCAACACAGAATTAACATTCTAAGGACAGATCAGATCCATGATATAATTTTACATGGATGGTAGGCTTTACAGAATATAAACCAAGCTGAGGAACAAACACCTGCAGGAGTTGTGTTGACACTTGCATGATGTGAGATTCAGTGGATTCATAACACAATATAAACAAAAAGCATGCATCAAATTGAACTAGTCAACACCTGCTGCCACATTCATCAAATTTTATATGTTCACTAAGATCAGAATAAAAAGTGACACTTACGGTAAATCACTTAGTTACCGTAACATTATATATTGATCTTCATTAGTTCAACAGTAAAATTAGTTGGAATATGCAAAAAGCCGCAACACTTCTAAAAGAAAACAGGATGTCAGAAATTGTTTATCAAGCTCATCCAAAGACTTTATCTTGAAACTTCAAATCCAAAATCTTTCCTTTATCCGAGTAACAATTATATAGCAAAGGGGTACGATAGATTATGGTGCACTTAATAATATATAGAGAGTGTCCTATGGTGTTGCAGAGAAGGACACTGAATGCCAAAAGACCAAAGCCAAAGGTCTAACTCAATACTCAGCACCTGAAAAAGAAACCCCACAAGTAGAACAATCGTATTAGGAAAAAGGGACTGAGTAGTGATGGTAGAGAAAAGGAAAATGAAAATCTACAGATTCAAGAAGATACATGTTTATCCTAGTTTCAAATGCAGAGGAACAAAATGGCCTAAACACAATTCACTTTGGTGGGAACAAAACTGATGCAGGTCACTTACAGATAAAATAAATAATCTGAATGTTTTATTACATAGATGTAGCCATGAGAAGAATCTGAAATTCATAAATAAAACATAACACAGTAGGACCACAACAGAAAATAAGCTAATTGGAACTGCTCCAGGCAATAGTCTTTAATCGTACCTGCTTCCCTGATTTCATGCTTATCAACTCCTTCATTTTCTCCACAGCATATATGGAGCAAGCCCGTAGTTCAACTTCCTCCTCACTGCCTGCATCTATTTGACTATTAGCCTCAATCGTGCTGGCAAGGGTCGCACTATATTTCAGTACACCAAGCTGCCGAAGCACAGCTGGAACAATATAATCCGCCATAATAGTAATTGAGCCAATGTCATAAAATTCCCCATATCCTTGGCCACCAAATGCACCCCATAAATCTGCTGCAAATATCTGCGCTCTTTTATACAAGAATACTTGGTGGCCTTTGTATACTGAGTGGTCTCGGAAACCTAGAAAGTTTAACTAATGACAGTCAATATGCTTGTTTCCTGGGGAATAACCCTACAAACTGTGCAGCCATAAAAAAAATTTCAACCCTAAAATATACCAGGAAAGTGACGAGTAACAAGAGCTACAAGCTTAACAGCTGATTTTCCACAGGACTCCACAAGATTGGATGCCTTGCCATCAAAGCTTCTCTCCAGCTCAAACCCAACCTAGGCCACAAAAGTTAACATTTTGGATATCAGGTTAGGTCAAATCATTAGTTTCAGAACCAGACTAATCAAGAAATCAAACAACAAAAAACTTGAATAATAAAAACTTCTATAAATGTAAAGGTAAATTTCACCTCATGCAACAAACGAACTCTCTCATCCTCCAGAGGTAGTGGCCTAGGCCATTTCAACAGCTCCCGTAGCTCAGGACCTTATAACAGAAACGATTTCAATCAAATTACTATTCAGTAGAAGTGCGTTACAACGTCAAAATGTAGGATTTAAAAGTGCCAAAAGGCCATTTCAACAGCTCCCGTAGTTCAGGACCTTATAACAGAAACGATTTCAATCAAATTACTATTCGGCAGAAGAGCGTTACAAAGCCAAAATGTAGGATTTAAAAGTGCCAAAACATGTTTACAAGAGCTCAATCCTTGTCCATAAATTTGAATTTTTACAGAGTCAAGAGTCTACCTATTATTTGATCTCTCTGTCCTATTATTATTAATCATTTTTCTTCTACCAGGGACCACGAAGTAAACTTGATATATATCCCAATTTGTATGCACCTCACATTGGATGTGAAATAACATCTGTATGGGCATAAGAGATATGTGTTCAAGAAAATAAGTACCAGTGTACTTCTGAAGACGATCCACATCAAACACAGATTTGTCATTTTGTAGAGCTGCCTTTAGACCTGCGGCCAAATTGTCGTAATTTAAGTCCTTATCTGTCAAGAAAAAGTAAATAAAGAAAGAGTCAGCACAGAAATTTAGTAGATCAAACTACAAATATATGTACAAAGATATGAATAAAATGAATCTATAACTCGCCCAAACTTTCATACTACATCTTGATGTTTGGAAACATTTTCCCTCTATTATAGTTTTATTTTGCAGCCTTCAGGATCCATCTTCTTCACTTTTACATTCTTAGTTCTAGTGCTTAAAGTAAACCAAAATTTTTGTTTGCTTCCAAGCATGGGTACTTTCAATTCAATATGATAAACACAGGTCATGTGTAAGCTATTTAAGCCAATGAACAATCAGCTGCTTGTTTTCAATGCATTTAGTATTTGCTGAAAGGGATATAAAGTTATTGGATATATGATCTTTTTCTTCAACTGCATACACTGTAAGCAACTAAAATATGGTTCCATAAGTAACTATATGAAACTGCACAACAAAGAACTCACATGGGGATGGATACACACATTGAAGTATTACTTTGACATGAAAAGACTTCAAATCTTTATAACATGGGCAGCAAGGGAAATTAAAATACTCTTTTGTACAATGAAACAAAAGCACAGACAACTTAAGTTCTTAGTTGTAACACAATGGCCAACAGCTTGGCTCAGTCATAAAACAAAATTTGGAAAGGTGGAAAAGCATAAATATTTCTACAATTTATGCTTTGATATGACTACCTCTACATTTTGTTTAGAATTGAATCCACTATTGTAGGTCATTATACTTGACTTAAATCATAATTTCTTAAACCAACAAGCAACAAAGTAAAAGAAGTGAACTTGGCAAGGAATTAGACTAGCATGTTCAAAAAATGAAAAAAAGCAAAGAAACCCATAGTTTAATTCAGTCTCATTGGCATCCATAATTAGAATAGAATGATATATGAGACGTGGTTGGTACCACCTACCAGGCCAAAAGCAAAAATTCAAAGCATCCAACACAAACAGGTACTGAACGGTGAGAGGCCCATTGTCAAAATAGTGAATTCCTTCGAAATCCCAATTCACCTTCGGGATTGTGTCTATAGTCTCCGCCACTTTCTCAATCCCTTCACCCCCAAAAAATTATATTAAAAAAACAGTAAATTAAATGAAAAAAATGCACCAAAGCTAAGAAGCATAAAATGGGACATGCATTTGCTCAGCTGAACAGAGACAGAGTGTGGAGAGACCTGAGGAGTCGACGACGACATGAGAAGAATGGCTTGCGACCCAAGCCGAGCTAGCCCTGACATCGTCCATGGCCGCAACTCAGTGAGTCAATAAGTCTGCGAGTGCCTGTCTGAGTTGAAACCCTAGGAATTTTGCTTTATATATGCGCCGCCAGAGAGAGAGAGAGAGAGAGGTGGCTGCGGTGTGGGACTTGTGCTGGTTTTTCCTTGTTCGAAGTTTCCCGCTTTCGTTGGGGGGGCGCCTTTTCGTGCTCTTCAACAGGATAATAACAAATTAATTTTAATAAATATATAAATAATAATAATGCATTTTTTGTATTGGTGGATTTATTAATTTTATATGTTTTTTCCCATTTTAGCACTCTGACCCTGCTTCTGAAATTCCATTCTGGGCCAGACTTTTCCATGTATAGCCAGAGACCAACTCACGTGTCAAAGACCCTACGGGCTACAGGTAGCCAGCGAGACTTTGTGCACGTTTTCCATCTCTCTTTGGGTTGGTTTGGTTCAAAAATTTTATTAAATAAATAAATTCAGTGTGTAGTGCCTTTTCTGGTCAAATTCATGAATAACTGAACTGACCACTCTCTGTCGACTGACCCAGGATTGGGATTTGGAATGCAGAAAGTATTGTATGGTCCAATTGTGGGGGCGCCTGGTTGTCTTTGTATTATGGTCCAATTAAGGGCCCCATTTGTTATGGTCCAAGTCTGGTCTGGTTGGATTTAGGTCGAACGAGGGATAAATTTGGTCTCATGGGGTTGGGTTCACTTAAATACGGGGTTATTATATTAAATTCAACTAATGTCATGCTTACTTACTATGAATAGGAAAATTATGAATTGGAGAAATTAGGATTGGATTAACTACTCCCTTAGTAAATTCTATTCCGAATTTTAATGTATATTCCACATAATTCATTTTGAGTTACACAAACACATAAAATATTATAAATTGAAATCATTACAATACTTAATCATGATAAGTAAATATGTCATAAATGAAAGTGTTATAATTTGAGTGGATCTTATGCGCGATTATTATGTAATGTGGTACGTAATTTGGTCAAATGTGTTTATCATATATGTTTTATTCTCACCTATAGGAATGATTAATAATAAAATATATAATTACCTTTTTTTTTGTATGTACGGGTGCATAAACTATGAAGCACAAAATAATGAGTGACTTTTTGAAAATGACGCAAGCACAGTCAAATTTGATCCTCTTTTTGGCTTGAGAGAATAAAATCTATTTGTATAATAAGTATTGCAATAATAAAGTATTTGATTGATGATTACAAAGGATTTCACTTGAAGGTTGGATTAGGTGATTGATAAATTTCAGAAAGACGGGTTAGCGGGTCACTACTAATAAAACTGATATTGTCCCAACTTAACCACTTATAAAGCCCAGTAAGTGTGGGGTTTTATCACAAAGGCCTCAGTGTTATTAGAAATAGAACCATTCATTACATTTTGTATTTTATTTAGTCAAGTTTTCAATGCGTGACTCATATTCTTCAACATGCTCCTTCACGTGGGACCACCATATAGTAGGCCACACGTGGAGCTAAGTCTACATCGAAGTCAAACATTCAAGCCCAACATGTGAGCACTACGTATTAGGTAAGGGTAAACATTCAAGGCCAACATGTGAACACCACATATTGGGTAAAGGTTAAGGGTAAAGGGCCAGTAATTCAGGCCCAATCAATTAACATGCTCTGATATCATATTAAATTTAAGAGAGACGGGTTAGAGGCCCACTACTAATAACACTGATATTGTCCCCAACGTAACCACCTACAAAGCCCAGTAAGTGTGGGGTTTTATCACAAAAGGCCTCAATGTTATTAGTAGTAAAACCATTCATTATATTTTGTATTTTATTTAGTCAAGTTTTCAATATGGGACTTATATTCTTCAACAGTGACATGAGTTGCTGGTTCATGATCGACGTGGCCATCAATAATATGGTCCCAAAGAATTACTTGTTGTAGGGCATATTCTTTAGATTCTTCTTTCTTGCTCATACTCTAATGCGAGTCACTTTAGTGAACCAAGACTTTTATAAAATAGTCTAAGATTTTCATTTATTTTATGGCATGTTTACTAATTTGTAATCGGAATAGAATGAATTGAATTGAGCAGGAGTTGGATTGATGAGAATTAGATTTCAGATTCCTATTGAAGTTGTTTGCTAAACCATATGGATTGAGGAGAGTTAGATTCCGAATTTCTATTGAAGTTGTTTACTAAACAATATGGAATTGGGGTAGGAATGATGCTAATTACTAAAATGTTCTCGTTGTAGGGGCTTTTTAATTCCGACAGCTACTGATGGGTCTGGGCTGCTGTAAAGAGCCAAATGTGTGAAATTGCCATTGGATCTGTCTGAGTTCAAGAATCAGACTCCAAGAGTACTTCGAAAGGGTAGTTGAGCTTTAGGAAACATCTTGGTCTTCTTCACCAATGAAACCAATAGTTGCTTACAAATAAATTCTTGGCTTGGTTTGAGGAGTTTGTGGCATGGAAGCTAAGCATTCATGAGTTTAGCATGAGAGAGAGAAATACCATATTTTCTACGAGAAACAGAGGTTTAAAGCAAAGGATTTCGTGAGAATTTGTTGAGGAGAGAGAAAGACAGAGGTTAGGGTGGAAGAATGGATGCTTTGGGTAATTTTCCGGTAGCTCGACAAAGGGCTACCATTCTGAAGCAGCTTCCCGGAGAGAATAGCTTCCCGCAACTTGTTTCAGTGTTAAACTCCTATTTTTGGCTACCACATCACCTTCTTTCCTCCATTCTTCCATGGCAAGAGCTGGTGGGAGAAAGAAGTAGGTAAGAGCGTTGGTTTGAAGGGTGTCTTTTCTCCTAGCAACCTGCGCGCACTAATACCCTTTGGCTTTTTAGACGATCTACTTTGAAGTCCGCTTTTGGCCATATGCTGGAGCCTCTCAGTAGTCTACCTTCGTGAGTGGCTTTTGGCTTATGTCGTTGTTTTGTCTCTAGCCATGTGCTAGATATTTTCAAATATTTTTTTGGTCATTTGGGCCTTCCTAAGGTGATAGGTTAGTGTACTAAGGGAATGGGCCAACCTCCTAAAGTGATTGACCATTTTTTATTAAGGTGATGGACCAATTTTCTAAAGTAATGGGCTACTTATTTCTCTTATTATGCTTACCCATATATTTGGCCTCAAGAAATGGACTCGAGTTTTGGAGCTCTAAAGCAGCCCAAAATTTCCATTTATCAGCTCATCAATGGGCCTCATGAATGCTCGTTACCATCCATATCACAACCCACTCAGCAAGCCTCAAGCATTTGCGTGGCTTGGGGCCACTTAAGCTTGTAGCGTGGCTAGGTGTAAAAATAATGATTTTTCGATTGGCATTGCATGTCGATTGACGTGCTTGAATTTTATCGTATTTGAAAATGGATATGATGCTTGACGGGATAATTAGCATGGGCTTGTAGAGCTAGTCCCTTTTATAAGCTCATTTCAATTCTTAGCATGACGGATGACATATTCATTTGGCATGGCATGTGGTCGTGGCTCGTGCAAGCGTGCATGACGAATTTCGAGTGCTCCGAATCGGGTCTCTTCTTAATAAGGTGTCACATTAGGCCGGAAATTTATTTGGGTCCAACTGTAGATTTTTTGGGCCTCAACAAAAGTATATGGCAAATTTAGAATTTATGAAATTGTGTGCGAATATAATAGGTAAAAATGATGAATTTCTAATGAGTTAGTTCTACAGGAATTAGAATACCACTTCCCACCCATGAGGAATTCAATTTCTAATTTTGTGTTGGTCCCACAGCATCTCCATCAACCTATTCAACAACTTTTGAATGCTAACCCGCCTTATCAAACTCACTCATCAAAGCTACAACCTATTTCTCTCTCTTTATGACTGGTAAGTTGACCTTGACTTTTCAAAACATTTAATTTTACTTTGGAAAAATAAGTCCTACCTTGAAAATGTTAACAACATGCATTTTTTTTCTTTTCAAACAATAAATACATAGCCATTTTTCACATGTTTTCATATTTTTCATTCTTTTCCATAACATTGCATTAATTGAATTGAAAAGTCTGCTCGGGTACAAAATATTAAGTAGCAAACAAAGCTTTTCAAATTGCCGTGTAGGTCAAACAAACTTCAATTTAAAGAGTTTTGTTTGCCACTACTGTTGGAGATGCTCTTACCAAAGAGATACACAATTAATTAGTTCTATTTCCTATGTGTGTTGTTTTTTGTTTTTACTTAAATGCCAAAATGAACTATATATTTTATTCGTTTGACCAATTTAGACAATCTATTTGTTTTCACTTTGGCCAATTTATTCCATATATTTTACTTGGCAAGGCATGGACTTAGGAGCGTTACTCTGCGAGACAAACTAACATAGCAAGTGAATGGAGTAAGGGGGGACCATTGGGTGAAAGAAATCGTCGTGGGAGGAAAGAGACTTTGTATATTTGTTAATCAATTATAATTTTTTTTTAACATCAATTTTCATATTCTTTTAATAGTAATATGGCGGAATAAACTAGAGTATTTAATAGTAAATTGAAAATACACAAACTAAATTGGCCAAATGGATCAAACATATGAATCATTTTGACATTTTAGCATATGTCGTCAATTATCTTTGTCATGTTTGCGGTGGTGATTCGGTGTCGGTTCGAAATTTTGCTCCATTAGCAGCATTAGTTTGATGGACAATTTCGACCTCTTAGCTCGACTTAGTTTGGTACCCTCAATAAAACACATTATTTTTATTTGTAGTCAATTAAGAGCATTTACAATCCTGCTCTCTCTCTATATATATATTTTTTTGGGGTTAAAATTTAGCTCAAGACCCACGAAATCTATTTTAGGAGGAAATATTTTTGCTCACTACTTTAACCTAAGGTGTACCATCATCACCATTCTCAACACTTGACATGTGTCCATAGGCATAACCATAGTTAACTATTTGTTTTGTATTTGTGGAACCATGGTTGTGCACATGGATATGTGTCAAATGTTAAGAAGAGTGGTGAGGGTACACCTTGAGTTAAAGTAGGGAGCAAAAATTCTCTCATTTTAGGAGCTCTTTAACAAATTCGAACTCCAATCATACTCCATATTTTAGGGAGTCATCAATACTATAATTATTTTTTAATTCAATATAAATGGCCTATTTCTATAAAATAAAGGAATTTTTGTAGAAATATCACATGAATTTATACATCAGTTTCAATTTGTCACCTTAAAGAAAAATGTCACCTTAAGTTTTCAAAATCCATGATTTGTCGCTTGACTTTATCATAATCCAATTTTCTATCCATTTTGAAGGGTATTTTAGTCTTTCCAAGCAAGAGGGTTTATATAGCTTTATATTTAAATCATATAAAAAAAAGATTTACATATTGGAATAGTTAACTATGGTTGTCTTATGCCTATTGTGTCCATATGCTTTTCTGTTACGGGACCCACTTCACTGGGTGTAAAATTATAAGAAGTCACTACCTCACACAATGAGAATGTGCATTTTCACAGTGGGAAGATGTATTTTCGGGGGTGTAAAATCACTTTTACATTCCATTTACACCTCCGGGGGTTGTAAATGTGATTTTGCTCAAGTGGGGAATATGTAAATTTAAAGATGTATAATTGATTTCTTTCATCTTTTTTTGCTGTAGGTCCCACTTTTGTCAACTTTTTCTCATGTAAGTCCTACCTGCAAGAGATATAAAAAACAGATGTATATGTGCATCTAAATTTGCATATCATGGTGGTGATGCAAATTTACACTCGTTTACACCTCTCCATTGCGGGTGATTCCGATTATAAATAGTGTATATTTAACATACACCCTCTCACTATGGATGCTCTAAGTTCATTCACAATGGTTGTCTTATGCCTATTGTGATGTTAGCCCAAAAAGATTGCAATCGGGCCTCTCTTATGCCTACGTCCTTTTCGGGATGTCCTATCCTATGCCCCTTTATTGTATCCCCCAATCTTAGGTGTGCATGTTATCTATTTTCCATCCATCCATCCATCTAAGATGTGACTTATAGTTATTAGAAAACTATTATTCTCAAAAGTTCATCCATCATCATTACTCATCGTTGAGTCATTAGGCAATCAGAGTGTTATTAAATATACATAGTTAGCCCAGCTGCTCCAAATCCCCATTTATGAAAATTAAAATATAAAATTTAATTATAAAAATAATAAAAACTAATTTGGCTTCTGATATGAGAAATGGTTGTCTCAAAAAGAAATACAAAATAATAATAATGTGAATAAAAAAGGAATAAACAAAAAAAGGAAGAAGAGAGAGAGAGAAAAGAGTAAAGAGGGACTGGGCATCGGTCCTTCTTCTACTTTTTGTATTGGGCGATTTGATTGATGGCCATAAGGCCCTCCTTGGAATTCACCATCTCTCACCACCACCACAACCTACTCTCTCTCTTCCTCGCACGCCCTCAGCCTGCTCTCTTCTCCTCTCACCTCCTCTCGGTTTCTCAGTCCTCGCGCCCTCTCGTCCGCCGTATCGCGTCGTCGGCGACTCCCGTTCCTCACCGCCATACGACGTCGCACCGCCCACCGAGGCCGCTTAATCCTTTCCCAGAAACCCTGGCGCAGAAGATCTGTAAATCGATTCGCCGCCCTGGCGCCGCCTCCAAGGCTAGGATTTACTCCGATGTCAACGTGATCCGACCCAAGGATTACTGGGACTACGAGTCCCTCACCGTCCAGTGGGGGTAATGAACTAGCAACCCTTTCTGTTTCTTGTTTGGATTAATTTTGGTTTGGTTGGTGGGAAAATTGAATAATTTAGGGATGTTTTATTATTCTCGGATTAATTGTGGTTGTACAGGGAGCAGGATGACTACGAGGTGGTGAGGAAGGTTGGGAGAGGAAAATACAGTGAGGTGTTTGAGGGGGTTCACTGCACCGATAACGAGAAATGTGTTATCAAGATTCTCAAACCTGTTAAAAAGAAGAAGGTGAGTTCTGAATTGCATTGCCTTTCCCTTCTTATGTGTGTATATAGGGAGGAGATTGACGTTTTGTTCTTATTATTTGGTTGTAAGTAATTGTGCTCCCTTAGTAACCTTCTTTGGTTATTTCTATTTGTTTCTTTCTTGTTGTCATGCGCGTCTGATTTAGAAATCTTGTCGTTGTGGGATCTTAATGAAGTTAGAGCTGAAATCTTCTTACGGTTAATTAAAGAAACCAGTATTATCGCATCCCCCCCCTCCCCCCCTCCCCCCCTCAATATGAAGTAAAGTGCTCTTCTTGTATGACAGATTTCTATAGAATCAGTGAGACTTACATTTTTTATTTGGCATTAATGCAGATTAAGAGGGAGATTAAAATATTGCAGAATCTTTGTGGAGGACCCAACATTGTGAAGTTGCTTGATATTGTCAGGGACCAGCAATCAAAGACCCCTAGTCTCATATTTGAATATGTGAATAATACAGATTTTAAAGTGCTTTATCCGACGCTCTCAGATTATGACATACGATATTATATCTATGAACTTCTCAAGGTAAGCTTTGGCATTCTGGTTCTGAAATTTTAAAAAAGGATGACTTGTGATTATGTTTTCATACACTTAGAAGAAGCTTGAATTATATGGCCATAATGATGTGAGATTTAAACTGAGTTAATTCTTTGCATTTGCAAGGTTTGAAATTTCTTTCTAATGCCATAATAAGGTTGATTTCTTTCTCTTTGTGCCTGGGAGTGATGGTGGAGCTTGTAGCTTCATTCCAATTTTCGTCTTTGCAGTTTTATTTCCCACTGTACACTGGAAAAGTTCAAATTTTGTCAACCAATTTTATAAATAATTGAACTTTAGGCAAACTTGAAGTAACGATCAATATTTTTGAGTTGTAGTATGGATCAATGATATATCAGCTGGCTGTTACTTAGTTTATGCAGCTTTGGGGAATGGCCTAGGTGCAATTTAAATGTTTCAATAGTCCTACAAGAAAAAGGTGTAGGCTGGGCTAGTGCTGCCATTTCCACTTCTATTTTTGATCCTCATCCCGCCCCTGTCATTGCCTTAAAAATGTGGACAGTAGAACTTCTTCACCCCGCCCCATGAGCCCAACCCTGCCCTGCCCCCTTTTTTAATTTTAATTTTATAAAAGAATGTAAGTAATAACACTACTTCAAATATGGACAACAACACTATAAAATACATTTACACAGAACATTTATATAACAATATAATTTCATAAAGTAACAAAAAAATTAAACATTAGAATTAGTCATGGAATTTTACCTCCCCGCAGCAGTTGTCATTTATTCTCCCAAATCCGGCCTATTAGGGGCATGACCCTGTGCGGCCTTGGGTTCACGGCTCTAGTCTCCACTTTTAAATTTGGTCGGGAAGAAAATATTGACAGAGGCTGTACATGGTCCCCCTAAGCAAGGTGTGAGCACTCATCTTTTGAGGTGATCAACACTAAAATGGAATTTCCATGACGGGGTTGACCTTTCTGCTTATAATTATGAAAATATTGTACGAGAACATGCAGATAGCTAGAAGGAGGGGGTTGAGAGACCTATAGGACTAATATTTAGGCAGCCCCCTTTCTAGACTTGTTTCTTATCTTGAATGTTCTTTATTTTTTATCTTGAAATCTACTGCCCTTATACCATTACCAAATGAGAAACTTATTGAGACACTTATGTTTCAATGTTCCCATACATAAGGTGCTATTGGGAGAGACTGAGAGATGGAACAATTCAATTACACAGGATTTATATAGGACATCCCATAAGAAAAAGAAAAGAAAAGAAGGGAATAATCATCTCTTTTGGCTTGGAGAAAATCAGACCTTAATTTAAGGCAATCTAAATTTTAAAATGTGGAGGTATTTCTGTTAAATATTTTGTGAGTTTCTGTTTGAGCCAACTAGCTTCAAGGGCCTGGTGCTTATATACATGGATACAGGTTTATGTTTTGTTCTCAATGCTCAAAGTGTGGACTTCCATTTTCCAACTCAAAATTTTAGTTCTTGAGCTTGTAAGATTATTTAACTTGGTCATCTATGGATCTCTTTGTGTAGGCTTTGGATTATTGCCACTCGCAAGGTATTATGCATCGAGATGTGAAGCCCCATAATGTTATGATTGATCATGAGCAGCGTAAGCTTCGCCTTATAGATTGGGGCCTTGCCGAGTTCTATCATCCTGAGAAGGAGTATAATGTTCGTGTTGCTTCAAGGTTGTTTTCATATCTTTTACTTCACAGAAGACAATAATATTTAGGGAGTTTCACTAAAACACCCAAAATGGGGGTTGAAATTATAAAAAAACCCAAGCACTATTTAAACATATAAACACACCCAAAACCCATCATTACACACACTCAAAACCCATTTATAATCACACCCAAAAAGTTGACTTTGGGGTTGATTTTGGGTGTGTTTCTATGTTTAAATAGTGCTAGGGTTTTTTTATAAATACATGTCTAGGATTGGGTTTATTTATAAATTTGTATAATATTTATTCACATTTCATACATTCTTATCTGAAATAACTTCTTTAAAATTTTCTGTTGTAGAAACTGTTGCTCTTGCCTAAAACCTTTTTGTATATAGAGAATTTGATTGTGTGGAAAGTTTAAAATTACAATTCTATATTTGAATGTAGGAATGTGGGAAGACACTTGCTGGACAGAACTTCCCTTATTAAAGCTACATTGTTTTAGGAAACAAGTCCCCATCTCCCTCCACGCCCACCCTCATTTTCTTTATTTTGAGGGCTTTTTCCCCAAAAACTACATTCTTTCAAAAAAAAAAATTTATTCTGACTTGAGGAGTGATATTGGAATAGACCGGATCTGGTATGGAAATTATGCCACATTAGTGCAAAATCATACCTGCAATATTTGGAGTTATTTGGGAACAGGGGAACCACAGCAAAGCAGAAAATAGATGCAGGATGAAGTGGATACTTTTAGTTTATACCATGAAATGATGGTTATTATATGTGACATAAATTTTCTGTGTTCAGATTTGTCTTATGCTCTTCCCCTGCCCCCCCCCCATTTGATTGCAGGTATTTCAAAGGACCTGAGCTTCTTGTTGATTTACAAGATTATGATTATTCTTTAGACTTGTGGAGTCTTGGTTGCATGTTTGCTGGAATGGTGAGCATGTCCCAACCTATTTTGTTCTATTAAGGCACCTTATATATCACATACTCCTGAGTTCATTATGGTTATGCTGGTATTTGGCCTAAATATATCAAGTATTGTGTATCCTCTTCCCCATCTAGCCCAAAATCAACCCCTGATATGATGAAATTTATGCATTTAGTGGGGGATGCTTGAATATATGCAATAGTTTTTCTATCCCAAAATGAGTACTTCAGATGTGATGGATAAAACTTTTCTTAGTGATGCATGGACAGTGGATCTTGATCTGCTTGCCTATTTATCCGTGGGTGGCAGATGGCAAGGAGATTCAAAATTTGATACCATGTCAAAGTATGTGATGCTCTCTTGTGATGCTTATTCTTGAGCCTTGTGCTGTACAGATATTTCGTAAGGAGCCATTCTTCTATGGACATGATAACTATGATCAGCTAGTCAAAATAGCAAAGGTATGCATGCTAGTTAAAAAGCTTCTTTGTCTTTTATTGTTGTTCTTATTGTACTTCAGCAGTTAATCTTTTGCCTCTACTTTGTCAAATTGATTCATGTGCCCATCACATTGAGAGAACCAATAATGTGGTTTACTTGTTTTTTAATGAGTGGAATCCTTCATCATATGCCCATGTGACTGCATTTGACACTTGTGTGTATTTGTGTGTGTTTCTTGTTGTGGGGTATATTCAATTCATATAACAAATTATGTGGCTTTCAAGAAGAAAAGAAAGCACTGTGTGTGTGTGTGTGAAATACGCTATATCATGTCTAGTGTTGCTTTGAAAAAGAAGAAAAAGCTATTGGAATCTAATTCAATGTCTTGGAATTTTTTGCTCAAACAGGTACTTGGGACAGATGAATTAAATGCGTATCTGCACAAGTACCGAATAGAGTTAGACCCACACCTTGCAGCTCTCGTTGGAAGGTAGGTGGTTTTCTCATGATTTGTTCTTTATTCCCTTGTTATGAGGCATGCTGACTTTTCCCCCCCTTAAAAAATTTCTGATGTAGGCATAGCAGGAAACCATGGACAAAATTCATTAATGTTGATAATCAGCACTTATCGGTTCCTGAGGTAAATTCTTTTCATTGTGTTGGATTCGATTTGTTTCGAGTTTTTCATAGTCTTTAATTACTTGTGATGTCCTTTCTGTAGGCTATTGACTTCGTAGACAAGTTGCTGCGTTATGATCACCAGGAAAGGCCAACTGCAAAAGAAGCAATGGTAAAATCCTAGTTCTTAATCCGGGACTGTTCAAAGCATGGACCTTGGGTAGGGGCAAGCTCTGTATGGGCCCCGCCCCGCCCCGCACCCAAATAACTGGCTCTTTCTCCTTCTTACTGTCAGAACCCCACATGTATCCATCCCAATTCGTTACACCTGAACCTCTTCGTCACATGATAGATGGTCAGAAGTGAAAAGGCATGATGTTCTTTTCCCAGTAATGGACAGGAAAATCATCTTAAAGAGTACTGCTTCTGTCCATCTAACCAACCACGTGAGGAAGAAGTTACAGTGTACCAAATTGAACTCGATATACATACGAGGTTCTGACTCCCTACTTCTGTAAGAAGTAGAAAGAGCAAGTCTAGATCTATACAGTTAATGGGGTGTGGGGCAAGGCCCATGCTTTGAAAAGTCGGGGGTTAAGAATCCCTGACCAGGGGCACTATGCTTATGGTGTTGCAATAATAATATGTTTCAAACTCAATTGTAAAATGAAGTGAACTTTATTTATGTCATGCAGGCCCATCCTTACTTCTATCCGATCAGAAATGCAGAAAGCAGCAGAACTCGCACCCAGTAGATCTGAGTTCTAGATGCTTGTCTAATCATGGTGAGTTCTTGGTTGGATCTTCCCTCTGTAATCTGCCCTCAGTTTTTATGGCGGTGGTTGAGTTCAGATATAGGGTTTGCCAGTGTTTGGGTTGTTATAAGACTCAGTTCTTTTTATTTGTTAGATTTCTGTGGACTTGCTTTGTCAATTTTTCATGTGTGTCCCAAACTTGTGAATGGGTTAGTAATTTGATATCAGGCTGGGTTATGTAATTTGATTTCCTCCATTCCTCTTTAATCAATGGAAAAGATTTGTATTCTGATTCTGACAGGAGTGGGTGCTTTCTTTCTTCCTCCATTCTTCAATCATATGGAAGATTTGTCACTTTGATTGTGCTCATAAACGAATTTTACAAGAAAATGGCAGATAATGTTACTTATAAGTAATTTACTGGTCAATTCTAGCTGATAATTCACTTGAAGCAAACTTTTAACTGGTGATGTTTAGTTGATTGGAATGGAATTGAATGAGCATTCTATTGTTTCCTTCACATAATATAGCTTGTTCTTATTCTTCATTTCATTATTACCTTTCTTGATAGTCCACTTGATCTAGAAGCTTCAATATCCGAACTCGGACTTGAATCGGGATCTGGTAACTTTGTCATGTGATGATAGAGATAGATTCATAAGAATCTGTAATGGACTGGTCTGCTATCAGTTCATTTTCAGATCTTTCCCTTTGGAGCAAGCCCTCACCCCGCAGACATGGTTGAATTATTGAATAATACTTGAATTGAGTTTTTATATATTGAAAAAGTTAACATATATACCAATTTCTTTTCTTCATTTTTGTTATCCCCGTACTACAATTTTCAATATAAGCAAACTGCGTTTTTATATATTGAAAAAGTTTGCTAGATGATGATATTCAGTGGGGTAATACCTCCTTGATGATGAGTAAGTCTCAGAATATCACAAGCTTCTCAGGAAGTCCCACAATTTTCAATATAAGCAAACTGCTCATGTTTCCTGTTTGAGTTGGTAAGAGTTTGTTGCTCAACAAAAAGCTACATCTATAAATTATAGACATCTAACGACCTTCTAGTAAGCAAGCTTAAGAAAAGAGCTCCATCTATTAAAAATTTTGTTAACAAAAATACGGTCAACTTAAGAGTTGAGACATGATCTCTACCTCCTTATTTTGTTACATGACATAAACACATAATTTAACATGAATGAGTCTCATTTTGCCTACTCATCGATGGTTGGAATAAATATTTGTGGAGTATCTATCGTTTTCAACCATTTATATTGATTTTCAACTCAATTCAATCAAATGCCGATTTATTTTTGGTACATTTTGCAATTTGATTTGATTTTAATTGATCAGATCAAGTGCATGATATTTTTTTCTAGAGATAAAACAATCGAACAATTTTTTTTAATCAAATCAAATTCAATCATTGATTGCTGGATTGCTAGGCCTAGCCTAGGGCTGTTGGTGTAAGCCCCTTGGGCTATGGTTCTTCTCTTTCGGCATCTGGTTTGGCGTTGGGCCCCTTTTGTAACCATAAAAGAAAATTTCATTCAAAAGATTTGATTTGATTTTTGTAAAATATATATTTATTTCTCAAATAGTTAGAAGATGAAAGAAGCATGACGTCATCTGAATTAGAACATGTTCAAGTAATCGAACTAATTAACTGACTTATTTTTTTTTGCCGAAGTTAGGAAGGAGAGGGGGTTTTCGCGCTCCCACAATATCAATTTGCTATGAGTATTCGAACTTGATACCAGTAGTTTATGAACCAAGACTCTTTTTCACTAAGTTAAACTCATTGGCGAAATTAATTAACTTACTTGAGATTGGCGAAACCATTTGAGGGACAAGTTGAGTCTCCGTTAATTTACCTAATAACTCTATCGGGGTGGGGCTAAAATAGCTAAATTGGGAGTCAAAGTAGCAAAGATGGCAAGCAAATATCTGTTAGTAGGTAGTGTAGGCTAATTTATTTTTCCTTTTCTAGAGCTTCATCTTCTTCTAAGAAGAAAAAACAATAAATGAAAAGTTGTCAATGGTAGAAAGCTTTTTGCAAGACACTCAGAAGATCCCTCTTAGATGAATTTACGAAAAGTTGTTATGTACATATTAAACTGTCATATTCTCGTTTGTATGTATTAAACCGTCATTTTTTTTGCTTGTACGTATTAAATGGTCACTTAGTTGTTCTTACATATTAAATCATCACTTCGTCGTGTTGACTGTAGCATGGTGTTACTATTTCATCTATATATATATATATATATATATATATATATATAAAGCAAAAGGCATTAGAAAAGTTGTCACGCATGTCATAACGTAATTGTCTGAAAATAGCAAAACAGTGATATCCCTTTCATGCAAGTGTTTCTCGTTTGTAAGAAACCCCCTTTTCTTGTAGTTTACACTATTAATTATATTAAAAATATAGAACATAGATGAATTGGTAAAACCATATAACCATATCACGGTCACTATGTCACTTATACATGCTTTCTTCTTTTTCTTTTTCTTTTTTCCATTGCCTCTTACCTGGTATAAACTAGTAAGCTTTTTAGGCATTAACAAAAAAAAAATTACTATTAAACGACCTAGTCTCCTACCTATAAATTATAATGTTCCCCCTTGAATGGACGACGGAAAGTTTCCAAAGACGGAGAGAATTCTTTGTAACAGAAACATCGATGACCTCATTAAACAGATCCATGAAAATTCTCGAAGATTGAAAAATGGTTTATAAAAACTTGGAACATCCATATTCATTACGCAGGCAACATAAATGTTCATCCTTGTCAATGAGCGAAGCAATCAAACCGCTTCCCTGAAATCCTTGAAGAGAAAGCAAACAGGTTTGAAGGTTTCCTAAAAACAGCTTGTTGACCAACACTTAAGAACAAAATTGCACATGCTACAGCCCACTACCTTTTGTTACCAAATTGCCATTGTGCAGTTAGAGTTACATGTATTTATTGCAATTCGTTATGTTTGCGTATGCATTCGTTTGGTTGTGGGATTCGACAGATAGATATACTTAAATTTATTTGATACGTGTAGTTTGTGAAATTCGACAGATAAATATACTTAAATTTATTTGATACGTGTGTTTTACAAATAATTACACATATTTTAAAATATTTTTCGTTTTCTTTAGTTTATGTCATAATTATTGAATATATTTATATTTCTTTTTAATTTATTTATCATATAATAGGTGATCTGTTCTAGTCAACTTTGGTTACATATTGTAGTTCACCAACTGAAAGGGGAGGAAAAGGTATATATTTCTCCCATCAATTTAGAAGATAATTTGGTCAAACTTGAAAGAGAAAGGGCAAAACAAAGAGAAAGGAGATGATCATTGACCCTGAAAAGACAAAGATCCCCCATCCCCACCAATTAGTAATAGAAAGTGAAAGGACTTCATCATCTCTAACCCAAATTTAGATTGAAGGGCATGGTGTCCATAGTTTGATGGGTCCTATTGCCCTTTCCTAGAACTTCCAACCCAAAAGAAAAGAAAAAAAAAGTAGAAAGTAGAAAATGCAAGCCTTTGTTAGATTTGCCTTTCTGTCATCACTTCCCCCCTACTCTCCCTTCCTATAACTGTTTCTAGGGCTTTGAGGTCCAACCCACCCACAAATCCACCAACTCAAGGGATATGTCCCAATGTTTTCCAAAGGATATATATATATATATATATATCTTCCCCAATTGAAAATTCCTGTTCCACACTTTTGACCACAATAGGGGTGTAATGCACTTACTTTGATTGAGGGTGGGGATGTGCAACATAATAATTGGAGACAAGGTTAAGACATAAAACTTAAGCTTAACTAAGCTAATGAAACATTTAGCATATAATCCGATATTGGGAACTGGTATAGAGGGGACCATACACCACCAGCCTTACAACTCATGCTCACACCATAATCTATCAATTTTCTTATTTGGTGTGAATTTATTTTTCGTATTTTCAGATGATACCCAATGTTACATGACATTATTAGGGCATAAGCAACACACCAAACCATTTTAAAAAGAAGAGAAAAAGTTCGTTTTGGTTTTCCCTTTGAATTAGGTCAAAGTCTTATAGAGACTTAGAAGTTGGAATTACAAGGCCATGTCGCTAATTGTCTGTTCATCTGATAATTTTATAACACATGTAAAGGGAAAATGCAAGGGTCCAAGTGAGCCTACATTCATTATAAAAAACACTAGTTAGGTATATAATTGTTGTTTAGCATAAATATACTGTGCCAAGGTCAATGACTGGTTGGACACTTGGGGTCAAATCCACATGAAACCTTACAAATAATGTAGTAACAAAGATACCCATGATTGGATTGGATGTAAAAATATATGATAGTTAAAAAATTCTATCTACTCTTTTTGTTTCTTTTGGATAGAATAACTA